AGATAGAATTACTTGACTGGTATCTATACTTTTTTCTACTGAAACACAGGAAGTTCATTCAATCTCGTTTTTTTTTGTGAAAAGGTTCGAGCAGTAGCTCCTCAAAGGTCTTAATAACAATTCTTTCTGTCCTACTTATATTTCGTTTGTATAAGTAAATAACTTAAAGAAGTTTATTAAAAGATCGACAGAATAACAAAAAAGATTACTTAAGAAAAATGAAGTGTTCTGTTGTTATTATCAATGTCATGAATAGTAAATTAAACTCTTTCAAGTCATCTATATTTATCAGAAACAAAACGATACATTAATGAGATCTTTGTTTTTGTAAAGTAAAACATTTTAATAAACATAAAATTTATATAACTATAGAAGTTGAATTTCTGAGATATTCTAATAAATATGTTCTATTGATTAGTTAATGAAAGTATAAAACTAGTTCAACAGTATGAGAAATGTTATTAAAATATAAAATTCTATGTAAGTATTATTGTTTGGAATATAAATATTGTCAAAAGTGAATCTTGAAGGTAATGGGTGGCAATTGCCATACCAAAAATAATTTATGTTAAGATTTTCGATAGAAATTAAAATACTGACAGTTGAATCTATACCTATCATAACATGCTGTATACAGTTGGGTACACTAATCTGTATGTAAACTAAAGATCTACAGATCAATATTCTATGTATTCGTCTAGTTTTTGTTCTCTTTAGATAATCCTGTAAATATTATGTCAAGAAATCTAATAATATCCTGAAAGAAACCTTGATAAATCCTAAGAAAGTCTGATCAAGAAATAAGATATTATTCGAGATGAAACTTATTACAATTCTGTGTTAACCTTGAAAATTCTGTGGATATATATTTCTTTCAGGATTTGAGGTTTTCTGGTCAAACTCTTGATTTTAAATTCAGTATTAAACTGTTCACTAGCCGGAATAAATTCAATAGTTAATTCTAACAAGATTTTCAAGATATGTTGATTTTCTACACAGTTCTTAATTCAAAAGTAATGATAAACTTAGAAGTATCCTGTCAAGATCTTGAACTTTCGTGACCTCACGTTTTCTTCAGAATTTCACCATTTTCTTAAGGTTTAGATTATATCAGTAAATTCTTACGGATGTGAACGAAAGTTCTCGTGGTTAAAAAGATTTTATTGAAAAGAAAGATGGAAGAAAAATGATTTTTTGCAATAAATCTTATTTTAACTGATATGCGTTTTTGTGAAATATTTTTCAAACTAGACGTTACTTGAAACTAATAATAATGCATAAATTTTCACATATAACGATTTGTTAATAAGGCATTTATCTTAGATTCATACAAATATATGCTTATTTATAATCTAATTCGTAAAATAAAAAGGAGAATGCTGAACAAGGCATTAAAAAAATTCTATAATTGAGTCTATAGTGAGGTGACATGCATAATGCAACTTGCAATATAACGATTGAGACTTCTTAGGAACTTTGAGATTTTTTGTGGTTCGTATCTGAAGGTTTTTGCATATCTCGATGCTTTCTATATCTATGAGGTATGATGCTATATTCAACCGATCGATAGCATCACCTTATCTCTTAATTGATTTACCCTTATGCTGTGCTATGTGATTAACAATTTTCTACTCTCGTCCACATTTTCAAGCACTCATAATTTTAGCGATAAAAATATATTGTAAAAGATAAATCAATGAGATGATTACTCTTTTGGATATCTTAACGTTTGACTCTTCGCTACTCAGTGTGATGGTATTATGACATTTCTTACCTGTTAATATATGTTATTCAATCTAAAAAGAAATTCATTTGTCTTTTTTTATATTATTACAAGTCTTCAGTGCATTATTATATCTTCAATGTATGATAGATATATAACAAGAAAGAGAACTAAGTTAAAATTTCAATTCACTATTGCCATTGGAGAGCTCGAAAGCACTTCAAAGAAATGTTTTTTAATCAATTGAAAATTTCAGGTATTCTTCTTTTTTATTATATGTTTAATATATATCGAAGACTTGGAACGATATTAAAAAAAACAAATGAATCTCTTTTTAGATTCAACAACATATATCAATAAGTTATAAATGATGATTATTTCCTAAAGGAGTAAATAACACGATATCTTTCTAGTATATTTTCAAATTTTTGATCATAAACCCAAATGATCTAGACTAAGATTCATATTATCATCAAATAGCGTTAGTATTTTATATTAGAAAACAATTTTTTTAAAGAATAGAAACTATATTTTTGTTGACTGTAAACATTCATTATTTTATTTATCATGTTGTTCTACGATTTTTAAAGAGTATAGAAGTCTTGTAAAGCTCAAATATTTTAAGCATCGTAAATGTTAGCAAACCATCTCATGTTTACAAAATACGTAAATAAATTATGTTCTTTATAATGGACAATTGTGTTTTCTCTTATTCACTTAGATATCATTAAAATACGATCTGTTTGAATGAGGCTTACAACATAAAATTAAGTTTATTTAATACTAATAAAAGTTAAATAAATAATAGTTGAAAAAGTTTAAAATTAATTTTTTGCAGTGATTGTTCGAGTTGTGTCATCTTGTTCTAATCGCATATCTTTTCCCATAATAAAACAATAATATTTTATAATAACTCTTTTCAGTTGTTTTCGAAATGATGGTGATGTAAAAAAATAAATATAAAATGGTAAAGCTGTATTAAAATACATAATAAATGATTGGGTTAAATAATTAACAAATGATTCAACTTGTTGACGTTCTTTACTTTTACTTATATTACTTGTTATGAGACTATAAACAAGATAAACTGAAAATGGTAATGTACTAATTGTATAAAACATCACTTCAATAAAAACCATTTTAATCAGATCTCGATCACGTTTTCGAAGAACAGTTGTTGTATTTCTTTCACCATTTTCAGCTGTTGGTTTAACACGACTTCGAAGTTGTTTCAGTGTTTTGAAAACTAACATTGTAAATATTATAATTAATGTTGGTGGTAATAATCCAGCAAATATTAAATAATAAATTGTATAAATCATTAGATCGACACTATCAAATATATTACATGAATTATTTTTAATAGTACGAACAACACCAAAGAAGATAACAACCAATAACCAAAATATGCCAGAAGCTATGATAAGAATAATTGATATTTTCCGTTGACTAAATGAACGAATATGAACATTTGTACTACAAAGTGCATAACGATCAATACAAGCAAGAACTTTATATGTTCTCATCATTTGAAAAAATGCATGTCGAATATAAAATTGAAGTTTACAAGCAAGAAGAATTTGTGTACTGATATCTGGATGATCTAATGAATATATTATTGGAATTATTCCAACATC